CGATAATATATATATATATATATTAAAAATGCTATCCATCAATTTATCGTTTTGGGGTCTTGAAATTGTCAGTCATTTTTCTTCACAAAAAAATAATTTGCGTGTTTTTTTATAATTGTACGTTATAAAGTATATTTTTGGTTTTATCTCCTTCAATCTTTGCTTCATTAAAATAGTAGTCATTGTTAGTTCGCCATGTAGATTATTCTGTATCGGAATAATGCTTAAATTTCTATTCGCGTGATGAAGTACATCAAAGGTTTTACTTTGCCTCCGCTATGTAAGTCGACGAAAGGAATGTCCATAAATGGATCGTACATTTTAGACATTGTTTTTGACTGGTCGTAGACACGAAGTAGAGATATGGATCGCTCAAAAAATGATTTTCTCCCAATTTGTTGGACTATTTATCCATAAGAGACAGCCCCCTTAATTATTCATGTGAAAACTCATTGTCTCTTGTCTGATTACCATCCAGTCTATCTAATTTAAAATGCTCGGACAGAAGGAAAGCGGAAATCTCGAAGGCTATTACTCGTATTCGCTTCAAGATTTTTGGTCGGCCAGGGCTCACTGTTTAACGATCGTGATCATTAATTTAAGCAAGGCTGTCTCATTCACATTTGTTCATCGCAATACTCACCAATTGGTTACTAAAAACGTAATCATTACCATCTGCCGTTGTTGTTTCTGTCGAAAATCCTTCGATGGTCGATGTTTCATTTGGAATCACAGTGGATATTCCGATCATTCCGATCGTTGCAGTGCTGGTTTCTGGTATGGTCGATACTGTTACGATACTCGTGGAAATATACGGAGAGGTAGTCCGCGGAGAAGGTGTCGTGGGTTTTACTGTAATGAGATAGAAAGTTAGATTGTAGTTATGTACATTATCCATTTCAACACATAATTATGGCGGATCATATTGTTAAAATATGTGTGCTCATTATTTGAAGTGTTGCGTTAGTTCGCTTATACGCATATGGTGGAAGCTGAATTCGATGACCGTATGGTCGTATCGTTCCCTCCTGTCCATAGCAAAACAATTTTATTGCTATTCTATCCAATTAAAGAGTCCAGCTGCACACTAACACAAATGTATTTCTGTTTGCTTCATTGTTGTAAACTGCTTGTCTGGGGAAGTCTGACTCTGGTCAGACGAAACGTTACAGAAATACATTTATGTTAGTGTGCAGCTGGACTCTTTAATTGGATAGAATAGTCATGTTTATTCCAGCTACAGTATCCTTGCAGTATACGCATACAGATCCACTAGCATAAAGGCATAGAGGAGGTTAGTCTCGCGCAACCCAACTCAAATTTAATTTTATTGCTGTTGCTATATTTTATTGATGACTGTAATTTTTGGTTGACTAAATAATAAAATCTTTTTCTCCTATACGATATCGAAGCAATAGGAAAAACGACTAATGTTGAAAATGTCGCTTTTTATTGCGCAGATCTCCAAGGAATAAGGTGATAGCTAAACTGATAAATATACATAAGCCAATACATCGCATACGTTTTGCGGAAATAACAATTAGGAGTATGAATTGATATACTGAATCGCTGCTTTGTATGCTATCTGGCTGAAATATAAACAGCGGGGTTTTAGGACAGCTACATATAATGTTTACAGTTTGAGACGCTTTACTATTCGATGACCTTTTGTTAATTATTTTTAACGCACGGCAGGCAGCTGCTTCATTTTCCAACGCACGCCAAGATTTAGCTAAAGAAATAAAGATGTTTTACAGGCGAGTTGCCTTGCTGCCTTGCTTTTTGAAAATAGATATGTTGACGTATAAGTTTCCATAACACATGCCAGAAACGTAATCGGCGCAAACCTCTAACGGTAGGAAAATTATTTTATCTTTCTTTGATTCGCATTGATATTTTGTATAAGTATAACCATTAATGATGTCATATTATGACGACATTTTATTTTGTAAATGTTGAATGCCCCATCTTATCAATGAGTCCCTTGTCCTTTTCTGAGCATAAATGATGCAGTTTTTCATATTACCTGTGTTAATATCGTAGTAGTGATAAGTCATGTTGAATCCAATTGGAATAGGATTGTCTTCGCAATTTCCGTTCTCACTTTTGAAGACAACTTGGAAATCTCCTTCAGCTGTACATCCAACGTTATTACTTTGACAAATGTAATGTTTGTAGTATGTCAATGCGAAGCCCGACTTTTGGTCCTTGTTTGCTTTAACTAGAAAAAACAAAAAAATTGAGATATTTTTCATTAAAGCAATGTCGTTGAAAAGATCATTTTGTCTGTCTGTGAGGTAAGAGTTTGAAGACAAAAAAACGTTGGGGTCTTTTACTTGCTCTCCTGATATAAACATAAAATGGCAAATGCCGTAAGTAATCATTGATAGTTCGTATAAACACACAAAGCTGGGTGACACGATTGAAAATAACGAGACGGGTTGGTAGCATAGAACATACTGGGGATGTCTAAATAGGGATGGCGAGATGCGTGTCAAAATACGGTTTCTTGGTGTAGCCAATGACATTGGTGTAGCCTACAAAAGTCTGGTGACACCGCCTATAATTTAAGATCAAATTGCATACTAAACTTGTGCGCATTTTCAAATTTATAAACGTCGGTGTAACAACTTTTTCGCAATCGCTAAACTGATCCTATTTCCCCATCCCCATTTTTACAGGCATCGACCCTATTTCGCTATCCCTATTTTGTCCCATCGTCCCTATTTTGCCATCTCTAATTTGACACCCATCGACCGTATTTTGCCATCTCCAATATGACTTTTAAGCTACCACCACTATAGCTACCTCACTGAAAACGAACACTGCGCACCTTCTCGAACAGGGTACGCATTGCCGAACCGGAAAGATTTCGGTCCCTTAAATAGATAATTTTCATATCGTTTGATGTCAGTGTCGGCTCGCACATGGCCTTGTTCTGGGAGAACAGCGTGAATAAGCATAGAAAGAATATATATATATATATATATATATATATATATATATATATATATATATATATATATATATATATATTCACAGAGCACGCAATAGAATTGATCGTCTTGAGCGGACAAGCCAATTTTTTTATACTTACATCCTGGCAGAGTAAGGGTTGCAGACCGACATGACAAGTTGATAAATGTGACATTCATAACTAAAATCTGATCGTCGCCGGAAGGTGGAAGGCACAGAGTACACTTCACTTTTTTTTCATACTCGCTGTCAGGGTAACCAGGCGATGCAAACCATCCATGGTCCTTTAGCTGCTCACTTTGACACTCCTTTCCTGTAAATTTGGATTTTTTATTTGCGGAATGGGTATCTGTAGGATGATGGCAAAAAGCAAAGTCAGTGCCAATATCCACGTTCAGGCAGTTTTCAACAGATTCAGTTCTCCAAGACTTCTGTTCTCCAGTAAAACTACGCGTGCAAATTTTTTTTCGTAATTTTGTTTACGTTTGATATCTACTGTTGAATATTTGTTGAAGAAATATCAAAGTAAACGAATTTCAGTTTATTCAGATATTTTTAGCCGAACCATTCGCTAAACAAAACGCAGTCTGACCAAAACTCCCAACAATTGTAAACATATCTCTGGAGATCACATCCCCCATGGGATCAAATATTGAAAATTATTTTCCGCGTAGGATAAATTATTTTCCTGCGCAGGGTGAATTCTATTTGTCTATTGCAAAACTATATACACGTTTTTATTATATAGGTTCAAACATTTAATAAATTTTTGCCTAAAAATTAATCCTAAAAAAATAATGCTTATATTTAAAACAGAAAACATAATTTGTGACATTTGAGTCAATGGAAAAATTCCCAAACCGCTGCTGATTTTTCTCAGTATCTCAAGTACATGCCCATATATCTATATATTCAGCATAATTATATGCGAGACTCAGTAGCGTAGTAATTTGGTTGCCGTAACCACTGGTCGGTTACGGCTTCCTCCACCATCAAATCCATGCGTCTGAAAGAATAACTAGGACACGGACACTTTCAAAAATCACATCTAGTATTTCCTTTAGCATATCTCACCTTGAACACGGTATAGCAGCAAATGCAATAAACACACACACAAATATGGATGAGCAACGTTCAGTCGCATTGAAACAAATATAGGAATCATCATATAGGAACTAGAAACTGAAAGAAGCAAAAATAAAAATAAGTCCATACATTTTCGTTCTTTATGTGGCTTCTTAGTGCACGATACGGTACTCCCGTAGTGTGTGTACCAGGTTAGAGTTAGGCCATAATTTTATTCAGATTCTCCGTATTCTAGTTCTATTACGAATTGGGGGACTGTATGTGTTAGCCAAGTGAATATACCCCCTGCCCATAGGCTTCAGTCGCTTTATACAACTTGATGTAAAGTAGGCAAACAAAATTTATAGTTGCCTCCATATTGGTATACGCACTTCTGGAGCACACACAATACTATATTTCGACCCAATGTATAATGTATCCCAGTAGTCGACGTATAAAATATTTTGGAAAAACGTTTTCTTATAATTGAACATTAGGATTTATTGAAAACTAAATTATCTTGAATAGAGCTGTTCAACCATTTTGTCTTTTCGTAGATCTTCTACGATATACCAATACCTGCAACTAACTGGCTCTAAATTTTAAACGCTAAATTACGTTATATATAAAATCACATTTTATTAGCCATTTATATACGCATTTCACTCCACTGTAAATAAAATCTTCTTAAAAAATTCATATGGTGTTATAGTCGTCAAATCACTGGCAGTTTCGTTTTGCGTCCATCGACCAATATTCGTGTAAAAAATCGCGAAGTGAAAGTAAATAATATTTGTTTAAATATTACCATTTTACCGTAATAAATAACGATTTTATTTTAAAATCGAGCGACATATGACAAAAAACAAATATTTATATATATATTACCACATCAATAATGTCGGTATTGTGTAGAATTCCGTTTCACTCAGCTAATGATATTGAACACGGGCGAGAAATGACGACGATAAAAGAATATGAAGTCAATATTTGTCTCACGACAGGTAAGTGTTGGATATCAGTGGATATTTGTACATAGCCTTGTTCAGAAAGAAAAACGTGAATGAGCGTTGCATATGAAACTGAAGACCACGAGCTGTGATCTTACCGCGTTTCCCCGGAAATGAAACCTAGCGTAGAAAAGAGACCTAGCCTGAAAATAAGACCTAGCCTAAAAATTTAACCTAGTCTGAAAATTAGACCTAGCCTAAAAATATAACCTATTCTGAAAACTAGACCTAGCCTAAAAATATAACCTAGTCTGAAAATAAGACCTAGCCTAAAAATATAACCTATTCTGAAAATAAGACCTAGCCTAAAAATATAACCTATTCTGAAAATTAGACCTAGCCTAAAAATATAACCTAGTCTGGAAATAAGACTTAGCCTGAAAATAAGATCTAGCCTGAAAATAAATCATATATATGTTTCAAAAATGATTTTAATATAAGCCCTTCCCTAAAGATAAGACCTAGTCGATGACGCATTTTTTTTTTAATGAAAACATGTTACCTATAAGTAAATGAATACCGGTTTTCATATTTTGTATATTTGAAAATCTGGTAATTCTCTACTTTATAATTTTGTTTTTGATAAATGAAAATAAAATAAATCCCCCAAAATAAGCCCCAGTGTTGTTTTTCGAAAGAAAATTGAAATAAGACCCTGTATCATTTTCGGGGAAACACGGTAGCTTGTATAACGGCATAAATTTCGACGAAGACATCGATGTATTGAACTAAATAATCATCCGCTTCTCATACCTTGTGTGGGTGGGTCCAAACAAGGTTCTGGAGATGACACAAATGACGGGCTGTCCCATTATACGCATATATACTCCTGTGATTGAAAGTATGCCTATTTTACACACCTTTGGCTTTATTAGAATACAGCGTGCAGAATGATTTTTAATTAGAAAAGACTATTTAATCTACATATATATATATATATACTTTATATAACAGTATTTCACTGTAATGCGTAACATCGTGCGTGAGAGTAGCGATAAATTTTTTAAAAGCCGTTCATTATGTTCTCCAGATTCAAATCAGGAACGAACGGATTCGAATAATGGTGGTTTCGGGCAAATCAACTACTTGATCGTGGGAGTTGGAGCGCCTGTGTTACTAATCGTCATTATTGCAGTTATTTATATTGTCATGCAACAACAAAGGTTAGTTATATGGATTGTATTATATATATAAGGAGAGAGCGAAAAACTATGATGGCTCGACGGTTAGCGCGTCATACTAAGCGTTAGGAAAACATTTACCATTGCATCTCTGGCTACCCTGATCGGGTTCGCAGGTTTAAAGAATAGGTATGTCTGAGGAGGTCACTGGATATTTTGTACAAAATCCCCGCCACTAATGCAAAAATTTGAGATTTGGGAAATTTTTAAAATAATAAAATAGTAATTATCAAATTAGAGTTAGAGTTGGGGTCAGAAATAATTTGAATATCCTGCACAATCTGCATGCCTAGGCCTCGCGGGAACTGGATAATTGCTATTTTTTAAATTATTTTATGCGGTGGCAGGGGGTGTTTTTTATTGGCGGGACTTTGTACAAAAGATCTGTTTTTTTTATTACGCGCCATGCAATGTAGCGGTGGCGTTTGATAGCCGTTCGTTTGAGCCACCGGATTAAATATTTCTCGTCTTTTCCCCGAAGTAAATGTGAAGCTCGTATTATACGAAGTTGCCAGTGGCTTTGACACCTCTATTTCCGGTCTCAACAATGCACAATATTCTGCTAACAAATCTAATTTAGTCTTCAATATCATACGCGTCGAACAAGCCGTTTTCTTAAATTCACCCTTATATTGTCATAAATGATGGCTATGTTAAGGGGGAAGTGCAGGAATGCTTATTGATAATTAAAAAGGAAAGTATTTTACAGGCGGCGACGGGCTGAGGCAACACCAGACGTTTCTTTCAAAACATGTAATACCAACGAAAGCGAAAATTCTGTATCGACAATGCAGCGCGAGGAAGATTTAACCATCGGATGTGACGCCAAGAAGAAGGATATTTGTGAGATGCAGACAATTTGCTGACGAGTATTGTCATCGAAATGCTGATAGAAGGAATGTTGTTCCACACTAGAGAGTTTTTAGTCGACAAGGATAGCGGTACCACTAAACATTTACCTATATAAAATTTTCAAAGTCCATTATCGAGTAGAAATCACTACATTTTAGCACCTGTGCCACTATTTAAAGTGGACTTTTTAAACAGAATGGATTGCAATAATGATCAGCTTTTGGGACAAACGCCGTACATCAACATTTACGCATATGCTATAAAAAGTAACCTGGGAAAATTCGGCCAAAAATAATTTTAGTTACCCCGTCTGACAACTTTTACTCTAAAACAGGGTGGTCCAAGGTTGGGAGGTTGGAGTGTCGCAAAAACTTTTGAGGAGGTCTCGCGGGCCGCAGTCAGAGAAAACCCCCAAAGTGATCAAAACATCGCGAGTTTACTCACTTCAAATATATTCAGGAATGAGAGTTTATCGTTCTAATCAGTTTTTCAGGGAAACTATATAAAGCCTTTAGTTATTTCAAAATTGCTTCCCGAGAAATATCGTGGTATTTTCGGTATCTTTTCTCGTGATTGGTTTTGTAATGTCGCTTAAAATTATATTCTTTCGTGACGGATATTACTTGAAAACACACCAAACACTGTGGTTTAACGTTGTTGTGGGTAAGGAAATACGTTTCCTCTCGGTTTGCTTTGGTCACCATTTTTCTACACTCATTGTATGATGAATTGTTATATTTAAAAAAAATTATTACTTGTAGCGCGAGCAGGCCTATAGTGCTACCGTCAAAAAACAACCAAGTCCGTCCAAGTTGGGACTTCAGACCCAGATCAAAAAAAAAAAAAAGTGGATCACACGTCGCTAAGCGGTTTGTCACTGCTGTCACAGAGGAGTGTTGCGACTAAAATAAAGGCACTAAACGTCTCTTTAAATAGGGAGTTACTTGATGCTAGCTCATCTCATGGGCTCGTTCCTGTCTGCACAAGACGATTCATTCTTCTTTTACCGATCACAGAACAGCATTCCCATATAGCAGTGGTTTTCAACCTTTTACTGATTCACTTTTATGTTTTTACTCTGGTCGCGTACCACCGACAAAACTTCTTTTTGAGGTTGGGCCAAAGACAAATGAAACGCGCTATGGGAGTATTTTAACATAGCACTACATCCATTTTATACCTTCGTGCAAACTTGCAACGTATTACTTTTACGTAGTAAGAACGTATTAATTGTGTGCAAAATCGCGAAAGCATTTGCGTCTTCTGCCGTCTAATTGTTCGGCGGGCCGCACGAAATGTGTTGGCGGGATGCGGCCCGCGGTTTGGACCACCCTGCTCTAAAAAATCATGCAGCTGAAATTTTGAATATTTATTGGTCGATGCCGATAAATTACAGATGATACTGATACATCGATGCCTCTAGTTTTAATTATTATAAATCTCCACGCTGCGTCGTGAACCGCTGGAGTAAATGAAGCGGTTTGTTGACCTTTGCCATTCGGCTTGGAAGGCCTTGAAGTGTTTGCATGTTTTCCGTGTTCTTCCAGTATTGTTTCTATTTGACTGTTAATTTTCAGGTTATCTGTATTAATTTAGCCAAGAATAAAATATATAATAACAAGGGTTAACAAATACTTGATAGACGTACGAGCAAATATGGAGGTATAATAGACAGCTAGATCTGATTTCTGTATTTTTCATAATCATACTTCTGTACTTATCCTTTTATTCCTGAGGAAGAAAGGCCCATAAGATTGCCTTTCGTCCGATTGCTAGTTCATCTCCGGTTAGGAATGCCCAGTTATTAGTTTGAAATGCATTGTCAGATGCTTTTCCTCATTTTGCTATTCATATTGGGGGTTTGATATTTGATTTGTAAAACACAAAGAGGCTTATGTCAAATTAAACTTAATCTCGTATTTGAAAGTATTTTCAAATTGGATTCAACTGTGTTCTGGTGTTATTTCCCCAATCCTGTCTGCTAATTTAGTGCCTCATTTTTCTCCGTTAACTTTTATTGATGGGGCAGTATTAAGTTGTCACCTTCAATTAGAATGATTGGATACTATAATCTCAAATGGCTCATGCACTAATTACACTGTTACAGCATTAGATAGAATATTTCAGAAGACTTGGTCTTCACTTGAAGAAATAAGGAAATTTTACTGTGGAAAATCATGTCGGCAGCTTGGCGTTGCACAGCCTTGCACTCTCGAGTTACTACAGGATTTTTGGAGTATTCTGGCATAAAAACGATACTTCCATTATTGGGAAAAACCACACAATATAAAAATGATTGCAATCAAAATTCTTCAACGATACCGAAGAGAAAGTTCCATTGCAGTAATAAATGTTATTTTGGACCCAAAAAGAAATTAATAGTGAAACGTAAAGCTCCCACTAAAGAAGTTAATAAGCTATTGAAAACACCTGTAGACGATGTCTATTTAGCAGATCTTTATGAACCAAAGTTTTATGATATTTTAGAAGCGATTACAACCTTGAAAAGATATACAGAGCTGGATTTTTCTGACCCTGATTCAATTGTTAAGCTCAATATGCAACTTCACCCCGCCCCCATGAAAAAGGGTCGGCATCAGCAGATATTTTCAGTTGTTGAACTGCCAAATGAATTTGAATACGATAACAAAATATGTGTCTTCACAGAGAATGTTGACATTATCACAGAGGCATTGCAAGAAGGCGCAAGCCGAGCTGGTGGCGATGATATAATACAAGAAATAAGTTTCGGAAATTTAAAGTTTGATGCTTTTGTTACAACGTTAGAGTTTCATAAGTCAAAGTTATTTGGAAATAAAGAAGCCACAAAAGCTATTGGAAAATTGATGCCGAAAAGACACAGTGGAATTACTGAAGATATTATTGGAAAACTGCAGGAGTTTAAGACCGGTACGATTATTACAAATTTAAGCAAATCAGAAAATGAGTCGTCAGTTGTAGTCGGTCGGATTAACCAAAGTGCAGAAGAATTAACAGAAAATATTGAATTTGTAATGGAGCTTATAAGAGGAAACCAGAATCCAAAACATCCCCCAATCATAAAAAATGCTCAATTAAATTGCTGTGAAGAACATTTGCCACTAAATATTGTTATTGATTCGGATTTAGACTGATTTTTTGTTTGAATTTGAAATGATTGCGAAAACGGTTTATCTGACGCAGGAAGGACCTTTGAAAAGTTCCATCTGGCTGGGATTGACATCGGATTCCTGTTACATTGAGAATCTACAAGTATATTTCTGGAATATTCGAAATTTTGAGTCGTCAGACTTTTAGAAATCTAGAATTACTATTCTTGGCAGCCACTAACGAGAATAATAGTATATCACTGCTTCACCAAACAACACTAGTTTGGTTGAAGCAGCAGCTTATACTAAATTCCCCTGATTAATCCTGATTCCCTGAGAGACGTCATTCAAGTGATTGAATACTGATGTGTAAAATATGTTACTCAGCATGTGCCCTTGGCAATTAAATCTGATGTATCAAAGCACCAAGTCTTATCATACTGTATTTCTCGAACGTGTTTGCTAATTGCGACTCAAATGCTTTCCTTAGAAGTTACCTTGTTTGAATTTTATAATCCACATTGAAGGGTTGCAGAGAAAAATTATTTATTTTCGGGTTCTCGCAAACTATTGCTCAAAGAATTTGTGAAAAAATAAATACTTTTTATAATTGTTTCTGTAAAATATCTATTTGAAATGAGATTGCATTTGGTGAAATTGCTTGCAAACAGTACGCTAACTTACATTGGCAGAAGGATGCGTTATTACTATTAGTTGTAAAAAGCCCAAACTAGTGACATCTCTGTAAAATTGAAGTTGAATCCTTTAAAAGGTTGATGAAGAAAGTTCAAATTCATTTTCATAAATTATAGCTCTGTCGGCGGTTAGTAAGGAATTTAAAATAATCATTCCTGTATTATGAAATGGAATCCGAGAAGGTCAGAATCGAATAAGCTTTTTTAAAGAATATATTTAGACCTTGAACTAGTAATACATCTGTAGCCCAATGTAGACATGTACTAGCCAAGTCAGAGATATTTATTGACTGAATAAGCACTACATTAAATAAATAACTAAAGAGGTAAAATAAGTGCAGGAATTAGTTGCAACCAATTGACGGGAGGGGGTGTTGATTACTTGAGCTATCAGTCATGGTTTGCAATATGATTAAACAGTCTTAATGATTCTCCTCTCCCTCAGGCTAAATAAATACTTATTATGCCCATCGTCCCGTTAACCAAGTGAATGGAAAATTTATCAGAATTTTTTCCAAGTATAAAATCCATCACTACGATTGAAATGAGTTGTTCAAAGGCCACATTAAAAACATTTTTATCGATAGCAAGCGACACACAAATATTAATACATTTTGATTCCATGACAATCTGTTGAACTTTTATGGCGAAGTTCTAAATAAATCGATTTAAACAGCTAAATGAAGCAATACAATACTGATAGTTCTAATTCATTATTCAAACAAAAGATAAATAGATTCTGAAGAATATCACAATTTTTCTACACTATAAATAAACCAACCAAGATGGCGGACACTGGAGTATGTGTACCAGGTTAGGCCATAATTTCAGGTACAAATACTATGATAGTCACTATAGGATAGGACTATAGTAAGGAAAATTGGAATAGAATTATGGCCTAACCCTACATTCTGGTGTCCGCCATCTTGGTTCACATACTTCGGGAGTACCAAATATTCAGTGCCACTGTGGTGCAAGGTCTACAGCCATATATTGCCTAAATTGAACAGCAAATTTTACTATGACAATTTCTTGTTCATTTTGCTGCATTTAGGTGGGAGACCTAACGCGATAGTAGCACCAAATATTCTTGAGCTTCCCATAAAGTACCAAAGTGTTACCAAAACCAGTCCATATCATCTGGCAAATCATCATTCATATCGACACCCTGGAACAATTTATTAAAGCACCTGCTGTTCATAGTGTTATAATGATCATATGGATTTGCTAAACTGAGGCTCCTCATGCATAGCCAGCAAAAATAGCATTTACATTTATAGCAAGTCATTTTATTACAACCATCTTTCTTTTCTATTGCAGCGCCGCATCCTGGACAATTTTTAGAGTTGTCTGTTAACCATTTCTCGCTCTCTAGATTTTGCATGGTTAATCGTAAAATTTTTGAACCGTATTTTGTTTCAAGTTCTTTTCTTGTTTTGTCGTCTCCGTCTTTATACTTTTCGCAAACATCCCGAAGTGCAGATTGTTTGAGCCTACAAGGCTCAATTCCGTGATACGCTAATTTACAAAAGGGGCAAAAAGAAAACGTACAGACGGAACAAATCCCGATTGTTTCATCAGGTTCAACAACAACTGGACTTTGGCAAGATTTTCTCGGACAATACATTATGTCATTCATAGTATCTAAGGTCGTTTGAAATAACATTTTCTCATATCGTTCAAAGTCTTCATTGCTGACCAGTTCTTTAATTTGAGCAGGGTATGCTTGAGAATCGCACTTATGTTCAGGGCAAATTAATGCTTTCATGTTCCCTTCCTTGATTTGGAGATCAAAATAAGACTTTATACAGTCTACACAATAGACATGCCCACAGTCCTTAAATTGAATACAATTTTTTCCATATTTTTCTGAAAAACAAACATTACAGTCAAAAATTGTATTATTGAAGGCTTTTTTCGTTTGCATTTCATCATATTCCAAAACGAAAGGCAAAATGTCCGAAAATCTTCCGACGTCTTGCATTACCCTGTGATCCAATTCTTTCATTTTCCTTTTTTCATTCATTTTCTCTTGGTTGATTAAAATCTCCTCAGCAAGCCCAAGAAAATTTAGCAAGTCTTCCTGCAAGAATTGAAGCCATGTGTAAAGAATCTCTTGCCCTTGCTGTTCCTCCCAAATTTCATCCAATTTTTTACAAACATTAGACAGTTGGGATCGATCCAGCCAGACGCAAGTCAAAGTTATTTTTGGAGGATTTGTTGACGGGTAGTCGCTTGGAAAAATAAAATTTAAGTTCACAGGTGGAAGATATGAAATCTGATGGGTCGAGTCCACAGGAGCTATACCGGCAGCTGAAATATCATTACTCGAACTCTCATTCCTTTGGGCGTATTTGCAGGTAAAATTAATTGGAGAATTTTCAATATTTGGTTGGATTGTCAACTTCCCAGATTTGAAAATTGTACCGCAGTCATTCACGGTTTCGCTCTTTAAAATATCCTGGTCTTCAAATATGCTTTCAAGAGCAATCAGTTCATCATTTTGGGCTTCTGCATCATCCACCATAATTGCCTTTTAGTATTTTTCAAGATTCAATTTAAAAGAAAAAATAAACATTCTATAGGACAAAGCTTAATAATTTATACAGCTGGGCTCCCAAGCTAAAATATGAATATTGACATTACTGCATAAACCGATATAAGTAGTTTGAATCCATCCTAACCACTGACCGTGGGTTCCGTAATGGTACAGTACAGCAGTAACGGTACCACCTTACAAGTACAGAAGGACGGTATGGTACCGGTACGGTGCTGAATGACAAAATCTAATTACTGACGACTAAACGACGCAACTTTTCTTAAATCATAGGCATATAGACTACCTATTTTACCCGTCATCATTACTAATCTTCATCATCTCATATTTACTTTATCGCATAAACGTTTTCTTTTTTTTTTTATAGATAAAATAATAATATAAATCATTACATACAGTTGAGACAGTATAAATTCCATATTAAATATTGATCATTTGTATCCGTATTGTAGCATATCCGTTGTAAATAAACGTTTCTTGTCAAATTTAACTACGGTGTCCTAAACTCCAGAAACTGTGACGATTTTATTATTTCTGTATTTGTGTGCCATTTGTCGAAATGTTTACCATTCTTTTCGATTCACGTGACTTTCATGCATCATCAGTCACAAGATCGCTGGTTCCAGTTGTGGGTTTTCAGGTATTTTTCGTTTTGCCCAAATTGACTAACTTTGGTTTTACCTAACCTCGGTGCTATATATTGTGTATTAGAGTTTGTTCAACGGTTGAAATTGCTCTCTTAAAGTTTAATTATAAATCCGCAAATGCGAAGTTCTTGCAACATGTCACACGTCTATTTCTGTATTTACTGCTCTGTCCGTCTGTTTCGTTATATTCATACGGCTACCGGTATGCGGTACGTACGATACCGGGTACATTTCAATATTCAGATATTTGTCAGATGCCAGGAAAGACTATAGTATGCGGTAACTCTGATCGGAATAGATTTGAGTCCGTAAGGCTGTAATATTTGCATTCATATGTATCACCCAAATTGAATATTTGAATACATTAAAACAAGTCAAGTTTGTATATTTAAAACATGTAAAATATGCAATATTTTGAACCAAAAGTAAAAAAAAATTCGGTATCAACTAATACTCAATTCCTCAATAATAATTCTCGGTAGATATGGCACTTCAGTCTGTTAGCAGGGGAGTGGTGGCATGTACGTCACTTATACTCAGTCCCCTATTCTTCTCAGTGAGTAGCCTATGTGTGACCATGCTTTGAACAAATCTTCCTTCAAAAATAATAAACGCTTCAATACAGTTTGAGATCTTATTACGGTATTATTGCACCGATCCTTAATAATATGTTATAATATAAAAAGTTTATTTCGACTCCATAATCAGCATAATAGATGATAAAATAATTGATAAAAACGAAATGAATAAAACTGATTATAGAATCGGGAAAGCAAACAAAACCTCAAGTAGGGGTTAAAGCTTACAGAATTTAGATGGAAAGGTATTGTTTAAAGAAGTAGTACGTGTTCGCTCACCTTCATTGTTATATTCAATCTCATTCATAATAACTTTTTCTCAGTTTATACCATTTGTGCTTATCTTAATTGAGCAAAACATTGATCAAAAAGATGGGTTTTGAGACATGCGGACCAAACGAAGCCATGGTTGTATCTGGATGCGGATACGGGCGTCCGCTAATGATTCCTGGTGGCCGAGTTTGGAAATGGCCAATGATTCAACAAATCCAAAGAATTTCGTTGAATACAATGACATTACGAATTAAAAGTGAGAACGTAAATACACAGAAGGGTGTTCCTATCTCTTGTGTTGGAGTAGCACAGGTGATTTGATTATATATATGCTTCAATTAACTTTTAGATCCCGTGCATATTTTTAATTCAGTGTTACCCATTGGGTTTCTGTGGAAACAACTATCTATCGTTATTCTATTCATTTGCGCTTGTGGAGCAAGGATGTTATATCTCCGGTCTGAATTTTGTCAAAAGAAACTTATAGTAATATATTTGTGATATTAAATATAGTTGCGCCTAATTCAGTAATTTTATCGCAGACAATATTGTAGACTAGTATATGGCTGTTTTTCAAAGTCAGGAATGAGAATTAAGCATTATTGTTCTAAACAGAATTGTGAGGTTCGGGAAAATTTACAATTTCGACTCATTTGATTAATGATAATTTCGACTCCTTCTTTTGTTCTAAACTTGGTAGAAATCATATTTTGGTTCTAAAAGCTAATACTCCACGTCACAGACCTAATTCCAAAACATTTTAAATGATTTTAGTTTTTTGATGACAGTTTTTTTTATGGTATTTATTTTAACTACTATGATCTTATGATATTTCTTGTATAATGACTTACTGTATGTTCAAATTGTTATTTCAGGTAAAAATACAAGGACAAAACCAAGAAATGTTGGCAAATGCCTGCATGCAATTTCTTGGTAAGAGAGAAACAGAGATTCAAAATATTGCACTTGAAACATTGGAAGGTCATCAGAGAGCCATTATGGGAAATATGACTGTTGAAGAAATCTACCAGGCATGTTTAACTTTTGATGCAATTTGCCACTATTAACTAAGGATGTCTATCGATCACTTATTGTTGGATCTCCGCACTCGGAAACCCTTATTCTCAGTCGTGCTGTCTGTCTGTCTGTTAAGATGTAGCGTCTTAATGGCTGGATCATTATGGATTAAATTTTTCACATGGGTTACCAGTGACCCTAGTAATGTACGCTTCATAGAAAGTCCGAATTGAAGTTTCGTTTCCATAGCAACAATAAAAAAACGCGCCGATCGTTATGAAATTTATCGGCCTTTTTTCGGTCAACTAAACCAACCATTTTTCTGAGTAAAAATATTCAACTCTAAATAGTTTTAGTTACTAAATTTAACTTTAATCTGTACAGGATAGGAAAAAGTTTGCAAAGCAAGTGTTTGAAGTTGCTTCATCAGATCTTATCAATATGGGAATTACTGTTGTATCTTATACCCTCAAAGATGTAACAGACAGGTATTTTGTTATGAAACTTTGTTTGAAGTCAGGGCTCTGAAGTGGGAGTATTTTCAGACTTTTTTGAGTCAGAATTGAAATCACTAATTCTTCAGAATTCCATACTTTCGATGGTTTTCATAGATTTCTACTATTATATCACATTGTACAACAGAGATAAGATATGTGAATGCATGTCCCTGCATGGTGTTGAATTATTAATTAGAGTTTTCTGTGGCCTTTCAATTTGAGTGTCATAGACTTATAAGATTTGTGTAACCTAGATTTCAGCGTCAATTGTTGATAAGACTTTTCTGGGATGTTCTCCGTTGCATATTATTGTGCTCTTACTACGGATACGATTACTACGGACTGCCTGTGTGTTAGTCGTTAATAAAAATTAGTTTTATTGCGTTTTTTAATTGTAGTTATGCAAACTCAATGGCATGCAATCAATTTTGGGCATATACATTCAACATTAAAATTAATTTTTTCAAAGCCATGGAGATATTTTATATATGAATCTTGGGTTCTGTAATGTTTTTGACTTGAAGCAAAATTTTCCCATGTATAAATGGTATTCTTCTATTTTTAGTGAAGGATATCTATCTGCTCTTGGTAAAGCAAGAACAGCACAGATTCATAGAGATGCAAGGATTGGAGAAGCTGAAGCTAAAAGGTATTTTATATGATTTTGTATGTTATATGGCAATTACTTAAATACTCCCGAAGTATGTGAACCAAGATGGCGGACACCGGAATGTAGTATGTGTACCAGGTTAGGGTTAGACCATAATTCTATTACAATTTTCCTTATTTTAGTTCTATTACGAGTTCGGGGACTAGCCGAGTGACTCCCGTAGTATTTGTACCGGAAATTATGGGCTAACTCTAATCTGGTACACATACTACGCTCCGGTGTCTGCCATCTTGGTTCACATACTTCGGGAGTACCCTTAGGTGTAAGCTCTTTTCTACCTAACAATGTTGGCAGCACAGGTTGGAAATGTGAACCCCATGACCAGGGATGGCCAATTCGAATAAAGTATTCGAATGTATTCGAATATCTCGTCATTCGAATATCGGAATTCACGTTCATAAGAATATCGGATATTTGTGTGACGTCACACATTTTCGACGCCGCTTTCAAGACGTTTCCGTTGAATGAAAACATTCTCGATAGAAACTTGCGCGTGATTGTTTTCATCACTCATCAGCGTAACGTGTTATTTAGGCCCGCAAACGCCTTTACGATTGTGTTATTTTCTCTAAAACGAAAATTTTCCACAAATTTTTTCCACGATAACCATAACATTTATTTTATTTTTGTACGCGCACAGAATTGTGAATCTGGTAAATAAGTTCATCGGCGGCGAGTTTCTAAAGACAACGCAACTTTTTGATTGAAAAGCGGCAATTTAAAATACTGAAAATAAAACCGTAAACAACATAAGTTTTATTGAGGCCCGTGAAAATTTAAAAAACGCTTTCTCAGGCAGTGAAAATCGCAAAATTTCGTGTGCACACATTATGTTTGGTCGGCGTTTAGAAACATATCGTCACTAATTGAGGGCGGGATTTGCCTGATTATCCATTACTTTAATATGCCGTCAAATATTTTCGGGTTAACACGATACAAGGTTTGAAACGCGACTTTTTCCCTGGGTGTGAGGATGTATATAATATAATTAATCTAAAGTATATTCAATCAATTTTATTGTGATGAAATAAATTTTACTCTTAGCATTTCGATCGAGCGGAGTCACTGTTAACAAGTACATCTAAATATTTGCCGAATTCGCAAAATGCGGATAAAAACAATATTTAATCGGACAGTTTACCTCACGTTTTTATTTTTATGGCCGCGGATTGCAATGGTATATAAGAGTGGTGAGGATTTTATTTTGTCGACGCAACCGCAGGTTAAATTGAAGACAATTAAATTAATAAGAGAAAGATATTTTAAATATGCCCGTGTCGGTCACGAATTCATCACTTTGCACAACAGAAAAATATATATTCGTTGTTATATTATTTGTTGTAAAAGTCGACTCTTTTAACAGGTGGCATAATCGCGGCGATGAATATGTTCTTTTAATTTACTGCTAAACTTTATATGTATATTCATTGTATGAAATTAATTATTCTCTACACTTAACAGGATTTTATATAATTATTTGAGATTTTTCTAACGGCGATAACGAGTTGGCAAGATTGCAAAAATACATATTAAAATTAAATACATCAAGCAGTTTATCTTGTAATTTTAGGTCACAGATTGCCGTGGACCGAATAGTAATGTTTTTTTTTTGACTAAGAAGAAGCAACCGCGAAAGATATTTTAGAATCTTGTATTTGTCATGGATTGAATATTTTACGTAACAGAATGATCATTATACGCTGACAAGACGGCCCTTTCAACGAGCGCGGAATCGCGGTGGGTGTTACAGGCGGCAATGAGAATTTCCGATTTCGAAAATCCTGGCTGCGCGCTGGCAGTGGTGGTCATCTATTCTCTACTAATTTATTTCTAACTCCAAACACAACAATATGTTACACATAATAACAATATGGTTCACAGAAATTTATATACAAATATACTGGTAGGTAGTAGAATACTCTAGGCCTAAATATTAGAATTTTTAAAGGCAATTATCTGAATACAAGTAGTATTTTTGTCAATAGACTCGACTATTATCGTGATATCATGGTACCAATGATAGAAAGCGTCAGACAACTTCTTGGCTATCTTTTCATATGGTCATTTGTACAAAGTGAATAAATTTAATAAACTGACTGTGTCACAAGTTGCTATTATTTTTTATTAATAGCTATAAACTATCAATTACTTTGTGTACATATACTGTTGGTCTGTGGCTTCATTCTGATATTTCTATTGAAGCTTATTTCCTAATTTACTGGGTTTTAATCAACTAAAACAAAAATGTGTTATTTTTGATTTTAGAATGTATTCGGAATTCCAGATTCGAAAACATTATTTTAGAATGTATTCGGAATAGTTTAGTATTCGGAAATGGCCATCCCTGCCCATGACCTACCATTTCATCAAGGATTTATTTATTAAACTATGTTGGCAATATGGCGCGGGGAACATTTCTGTCTTTTGAAAATTGTAGCTTCTTATGCATCTGTGGCTCTTTATGCAGAACCTTGTTTTGATCTAAGGCTCGGAAACATCGTATACAAAATGTCATAGAATTGGGTAGGCAGTGAATGCCAAATGTGTGGAAATTTACTGTAAAAGAATATGTTTCTATAATAATAAACATTAGACTATTTGTTTAATCTGTTTGAAAATGCCCCCTTCCTCCTGGTTGAGTTGATTTGTTTGGAAATTTCAATTAAGTGATTTCAGAAAAAAAGTTTTATCCATACTTCAGATGATTAAAATTACAAATGAAAATAATTATTATTCTTTTTAAAATTTGTATATATGGGATATTAAATACACTATTTATTAAAGCTGTTAAAAATAGAATTTCTGGAAGAATTAGCAAATTATTAATAGATGGACTGGAAGCATTTCCTATATCTTGTGGTTGTTGTGCATAGATTTGAATTTCAATAAAAGCTTGTTTTGGTGTATGATTTGTTATATTTTGAATGGAAGCATCGTTGGAATTTGCTGACCAGAAATTCATTACTATAGTATAATATTTATATAGTTTTAGTACATCTTGGCATTACATGTGCATTTCTTAATCTCCAAATAAGAATAGTCTCATAAACGTTTATTATTGTTAACCAAATGTCTTGGTCGATCATGAATTCTCTTATACAAACTATTTGGTGTCAGACAATATGCTTTTATGTACACCCCACTCATCAATATATAGTTATAGTACATCTCAGAATTACAGTGTTCATGCATAACTTTTGCTCAAAGGCGAGTCTCTTTTACTTCTAAGTGAAGGCTTGTGGATTTGCCTCAAGCAAATTATCTTAAAATTCCTGTGTGTAAAAAAATCCCAGTCATCTCAAATTGTTCACCGTTTTGTTTTTCTAAAATTCCTGCACCGAAGGGCACTTATGAGTTATCGTCATGTGAAATCACTGATGTGTGAATAAATATCTCTCTTATTATTCATTTATGTTTGGTTTGTGTGTAAAAGTGTTTACTTTGCTTGTAGTATTTCAGAGCTCATTCTCTTGTGATAATTGTTGGCTGAACAAATTAATACACTGATTTTCAGAGATAAAATAATAATATATCTGTATAAATTTTTTGCCATTAATTTATGCCATTTTCCAGCATTTCGCTATGAACAAGATCCATTACGAATTGATACTTTCCATATATTCGATTACTATTGAGCAACACTTCAATACCAAATATAAAATAAACAATAAAATTTAATAGAAAATGTAACTTCTGGATTTTTGTTGAAATAAACAAGTAACCCAAGGAAATTTAAAGGCGACCCAGTTTTAGGTCGCGACTCGTGACCCATGGGTTGGCAATCACTGCTATACGCCTATACCTATAGGCCATCTCTACAGTTATTATTGTCAATGCTCCTACTTTATAAAAACAAAATAATTCATCTCATACTTATGGTTATCAGGGCATGAAAATCTCAAAACAACAATCTTATTTATACAGGGATGCTGGCATCAAAGAAGCTTTGGCAAATCAAGCAAAAATGAAGGCAAAATTTGAAAATGATGCGAAAATTGCCGAATCGAAACGTGATTTTGAGCTAAAGAAAGCTGCTTATGACAAAGAGGTAGAGTATAACAAATTTCAAATTTAATCCAAGATGTCCAAAACAAATTAAATGGCCAAATCCTTTTTTATAATTCGTTATTTCTATACATACCTCAATATTTAATATAAAGAATTGCTGCTTGATTAAGAAGTCTTATATAACGTTATCTTTAAAAACCATAATTCATGCACTGTTAAAGTGTTCAAGTACATTATGTATTTTCATGCAGAAATGTTTTCTAGTATAAAATACTAGAATAAAATACTATAAAATACTACTTCAAGTCTAATTAGTTGCAAAAATGTTCTAAATTTATGTGATTTTCTAATTAAAAAAAAAAATTATTTGAGCATTTGACAGATTTTAAAAATGTGCTTCAATATTATAGTTTTAGACCATTCTTGACCCAAGATAAAATCATTAACCAGATATTAAAACTATCGTGACTCGTGACTGGCATTAATGCAATAAATGTTGTTTCTCTCGTTTTGATGACAGACAATATTCTCACGAGTGGGAGTTTCCTGTCATTATTATGAATTGACTGAATTGTCGTCTTCTTTTTCCTGTTGTGTGTTTGTCTTACTTTGAATGTTATAAAATCACTATATTTCATTTGGGAATCAAAATCAAAAAATAATACGTTTGAAATATTAACTAAAAAGAGTTATTTAAAAACTTGACTTTTGATTTTTTAATTTGGATTCTATTATACGTCCATCTTACCATAAGAATTATTGGTACTCCCGAAGTATGTGAATCAAGATGGCGAACACCGGTACATAGTATGTGTTAGGTCATCTTTTCATTCCAATTATCCCCAATTTTAGTTCTATTACGAGTTCAGGAACTAGCCAAGTGACTCCCGTACTATTTGCACCTGAAATTATGGCCTAACCCCAACCTGGTTCGAAATTATTTTCTCATTCAAGTATGAAATTCAGGATACTATACTATACACGCATCGCATATAATAGAATTGTTACAATATCCAATCCATAATTCAATAATATAAAACTTTAATGCTGCTTACATCCTAAAAGTGACGAAACGATCATAAAATTACAACATTAAAATATTTTTTTTATATAATAAAAGCAAGTTAATTGCTTGTTAAAAAAAATTGAGTGTTTTTTATTTATTTAAACCACGATATTCCAACCAAGGATATTCCTCTTCCATTACTAACAATAATTTTCCATATGCATTACTCAAAATCACCTTCAAACAATAATAATAGTCTCATAAAGCATAATGTGATCGATATAGTAAGTTGTTCTGTCTCAATATTAAATTTAACTCATTTGATAATTTTATGTCAAGTTCTCAAACAGGCAGATAACGAGTAATTTTTTAGAAAATGGATTGATACACAAAACGATTAACGCTCTAGAAGTATGTGTACCAATATGGAGGTAACTAATTTTGTTCGCCTGGTTAAAATCATTCCATAAACTCATGGGCAGGGGGCATATTTACTTGGCTAACATAAACAATACCCGAACTTGTAATAGAACTAAAATAAGGAAAATCGGGATAAAGTTATGGCCTAACCCTAACCTGGTACACATACTATGGAAGTACCAGACTATTTACGTTATCACTTGCATATTGCAAACCACTCGTTCTGAATATGATGTGAAACAAAGTATGAATGAAAGGAGGGTCTATTAAATAATAAATTTGTCTTTTCCTACAGGTCAGCACGAAAAAAGCAGAATCCGAACTGGCGTACAATCTTCAAGAAGCCATCACGAAACAGTCGATTAAAGAAGCCGAAATGCAGATTAAGGTTGAAGAAAGAAACAAACAAATTCAAGTACAAGAACAGGAAATCAGCAGACGAGATAAAGAACTCACAGCTCAGGTCCGGTCGATGTTTGATTCATTTCTTTTTTGTACGAGTATGTACAGACAATGTTTCAAATATCACATCACCAAGAGAGAAGGGCTGTCCTTCCGAGTTGCCAGAAAGTCATTGACATAGGGTTGAATCATTTTCAATAAATACTTTCAGGGAAATAAATAGAGATAAAAAGGAATATCATAAATATGAATTTTCGAAGAAACTTTTTTGTAAAAATTTTGCTCTCAAGCAAAAAAGAGAGAAATGATTTTTGTGTTGTCATACATGGTAGATTCCCCTTGTCTATTTGTTTGAAGGATTGCCTAAAATTATAGAGCTTTATATATGATATTTACGGGTTAGTCAGTTTTCCTTGTAATGGCATTGTTTTGACTGATATTTTATCTTCTATTATTCACAGGTCAAAAAACCAGCAGAAGCTGAGAAATTCAGAATGGAAAGAATTGCTGAGGCTGAAAGAAACAGGGTATGTTTTATTATGTTGTCGAAAATAAAAGCGGAAGGTGTGATAAACAAAGTGAGCTGTGCCTGAATGTTTTTTTGCCTCTTCCGAACTTTTTCGTATTAGTAGTTTCTTGTCTGAAGCCATCTTCGCAACGTGCAAGTTGCAAATTAGTGATTGAAATTTTAAGAACATTGCGTTGGGTGTAAAAAAGTGGACGGGCTGTGTTTAAATGGAAAGATTTTATTGCCTCCAAATGGAATCTATTGCTTGGCGATAGGCGCACTGTACTTCAAGTATTACACATTGCCCTGGGTGTGAAAAATTGGGCGGACTGTCTTAATAATGGAAAGATTTTGTTACCATTCAAGGTATCTTGTATGTCTCAAGGTATCTTGTATGTATCGGCGGTTGGCGCATTATAGCGTTGGGAATATGCTTGTCACCACTCCTTTGATTATCCTGCACCAGTTCGCAGGTTTAAATCCTGCAGGTAATAATTATATTCGAGAAGATTGCTGGACTCCTTGTCATCGTTGTAGGGTGGTTCATGTAACCGCTGGTTGATTACGGCTTCCTCCACCACCAAGTCCGTGCATCTAAACCAGGAGTGGCCAACCTATGGCGCATGCGCCAAACGTGGCGCATTGCATGATTAGAGGTGGCGCATTGCATCTTTAACCCTTTTCATGCCAAAATTGTTAATTGCACTTGGCTTCTCCACGCCAAGCCGTTTTTTTGCGATTTACATGGTGACTTTTGATTGTACCTAAAATCTATTCTCCTTACTCCACGTTGCCCACTTACGGCTTGTTGGAATTAGAAACAACAGGCGATTATCGACGTTAGCTTTTGGACGGACTTTATGACATTCATTCTAGACTTTTAGCAAAAATTAGTAAAATTTACTATTTTTTCCCTACTGAAGTAAAAAGTTCAGAACTTCTGGAAAAATAGAAAATCGTCATTTATCAGCTTGAAACATGGATTTTCCATTGTCCAGACTTCCCAAATATCTCCCAATAACCATTGAACAACCAGTTGAATTGCCCAAGCCTAAAAAATTTATTACAAATCAACCCACAACATGCTGAAAATGACCCCTAAATACCACCTTTTTCATCCAAACTTCAAATGATCGTTGTCAACAAAAGCGAAGCGTAAAATCGCTTGCTGTGACGCAAGTACTAATCTCGAAGAAGCCTGGAGTAAAATCACGCGACGCTAGGCCAAACAGCGAAAGTAAAACAGCAGCAAAAGTCTCATAAAGGCGGTACTTAATAAAATTGATCAGTTTTATTTATTATACTTCCTTGCTTAATTTCTATTCATGTGAAGTTGTAAATTGTAAAAACTACATATACGTGTGTATATATGTGTGTGTATTATAAATTTATATAATTTCAACATTAGGCGTGGGAATACAAAAGATTTACGGCGCATCTGAAACATTATGTTTAAAACGTGGCACATGGAATGTGGAAGGTTGGCCACCCCTGATCTAAACAAATAAATAGTTAGCTATTCCATACCCCACATAGACAGATAACCTCATAATAGGCCATGGTTTGCCATATGATTAGGTCATCTTATTGCCTGTCTAACCTCAAGATGAAATGAAAATTCCCTATCCCATCATATCAATGCTTATTTGTTCAGAGTAAAAATAACAAAAAAAAATTGATTCATTTCAGATCATCTTGGAGGCAGACGCAACTGCCCAATCTATTCAAATGAAGGGAGAAGCAGAAGCATTTGCTGTGGAAGCCAAAGCTAAGGCAGAAGCTGAACAGATGGCAAAGAAAGCCGATGCTTGGAAAGATTACCAAGAGGCCGCCATGGTTGATATGGTTCTCTCTACCCTGCCTAAGGTAAAGTACTGTTTGTTTAATATAAAAAGGATTCCCTTCAGAACTTTTGAAAATTTCTTAATTGGCTTGTGCTATATAAGCACTATTGATGATTAATGAAGGCCGCGGATGGAAATGTTGGATATTCTTGTTTTATATAAGTCAGGGGTGGGCAAGATACGGCCAGCGGGCCCCGTCGGCCCGCGACGAGATTTAGACCGGCCCGCTGACTGTACATCATGATATTACATCATTACACTTTTAGTACATTATGATAAATTCATTATTGGTTTTTTGGTCTCTATTTTTTTGTAGTTTAAACTTTACTTTAAACGCGATTTAAATTTTTCTTTCTTGCATTAGCGAATAAATATGTGATTAAGATATTGAACACTATTCATGTTATAATCCGGCCCGCCGATAACTTCATTTTCCCACATCTGGCCCGCCGACTAAAGAAGTTGCCCACCCCTGATATAGGTATAGGTATATTTTATATAGGTAGCGAGTAGGGCTGTCTAAACGAATTCCCTTTTTCAAAATCAAATCGCGAATTATTTGAACCGTTTTCTGGACTAATTTGCAAATAATAGAATCTTCTGGTAAAATGAACATATGGAAGAGAAAGTATTTCAACCACCATTGCCCTGTGTTTTTTACCAGGCAAGTGGTGTCGTTTTGTGAGTAAACCACTCTTGCCCCTCACATAAGTTATTCCAGAAGTTCTTCTTGCATTCCTTTTGCATGGAAGACTAGATGTCGCAATCTTCTATTTCCCCTGTGAGTCGCAGTTCTTACCACTTCATGGCAGCTGCTGCCACGAACGAACGAACCGCAGCGTCTTTTCAGAACTATATTTACTTAAACCTGAAACCTAACCCAAAATCCATGAAAACTGTATCCATAACAAAAATGGTCCAACTTACCCAATATTTGTCACCATCAGGGGCAGCCCTGCCAATACCGCCGGCATGCCTTGGTTACGGCAGCAAAATTTTACCTGCCGTTGGTTTTCATACTGCTGCCGTGGAACCGGCATTGGCATCTCGCCATCGGTTTGTGGCAGCTAAAAAGTCAGTCGCCGTGGTTTGGCCATAGCGGCCATGGTTTTGAAATCCTGCCATGGTTTCGCGGCAGCTTTGGACGCCACAAAATACTCAAAACTGCACGGTGGCACGCTTTTAGCCATTTCATACATGGTCCAACTCAAAAGTTATTATCGGAAATAAATATTTAAAAAGATGTTTTTGAGAGATTACAGAAGGCGAAAAAAGCACTTTAGTATTGTCTAAAAATGGTAGTTCTATTAATAGCATTGATTTGAAGTTGTTAAGTTAGTAATCAATCATAGAAATCACAATATCGTAAAGGGAGTTCTAATTGTACATGATTCGGAAAAAAAATTTTTAGGGAATTACATTTGAAATAGGAATTTAGATTTAGTTTAGTTCGAATGAGCAATGATGAAACATATCGCCATCCTATGATCTTCTATGATTTATGCGATATGGGCTTAACTGAGCTCTCATTTTGTCGCTCCAAAAGTTTGTGTACCAAAATGGAGGCAACTAATTTTTTTCACTCATTTTACATCAAGTTGTGTAAAGTGACTGAAACCTATGGGCAGGGGTATATTCACTTGGTAATCACAGACAGCCTTCAAACTCGTGATAAAACTAAAAAAAGGAAAATCATAATAAATTTATGGCCTAACTCAACTCTAACCTGGTACACACACTACAGGAGTACCTTTATTTCATCAATATCCATTTTGTGATTGCATACTTGCACTTCCATCATATTATTATGACCAATTGTTGGTACTCCCGTAGTAGTATTATGTGTACCAGGTTAGGGTTGGGGCATAATTTTATTCTGATTTTCCCTATTTTAGTTCTATTTCGAATTCGGGAACTGTCTGTGTTAGCCAAGTGAATATACCCCCTGCCCATAGGTTTCAGTTCCAACTTGATGTAAAGTAGGCGAACAAAATCAGTTATCTCCATATTGGTACACAGTACACACACTTCTAGAGCACCCATTTGTCTTCTGGTTCTGTGCCTTATTTGGGGGATTTGTGCTGAAAACTAAAAGAAAATCGTCTGATTTGAGCAGATCAATAGGCATTTACTTGGATTTTTTGAATTTACTTGAATAATTTATTGAAATTCTTACTTCAGATCGCTGCTGAAATTGCTGCACCTCTATCTGCTACAAAGAAAATCACTATGGTGTCAAGCGGAAAGGGGGATATCGGTGCGGCTAAACTGACAAGCGAGGTTCTTGACGTTGTTGCTAGACTTCCAGCTGTCGTCGAGAAGCTTACCGGTGTCAACATGACGAAAGCCCTCAATATTAAGGTGTAACTGACAACCTCTGACTTTAAAAAATTTTTTTGGATTTTTCCACCAGATTTTTTACACTATTAAGAGTTGTTTCAAAGAATAATTGTCAACTTTAACAATTAATTTACCCCAGTCTCGACTTAACAATTATGAATAACAAAAATAATGAATAACCAATCTCCAGTTTCATGGAATAATGATTTCAATTTAGGCATAATCTGTTATGCATGATTAGGTATTATTTGCTTAACTCTATTAAATTGACCGCAAAGTAAAAAATATGTTTTGGACAGAATTTTATATGCATCATTGGGCATGATTTGGTATTAGCTTTTTTGACTATGATATGTTATTTACTGTAAAAAAAGATATAATTTTGGCAGAATTCGTCATGCATCATTATGCATTAACTCTTTATGTTGTACATTCAATAAAGAATTTTACTAGGTTAAAATTTTTTATGCATCATTAGGCATTGACTCTTATGTTGTTCACTCAAAGAATATTATTTTTGGCAGAAATTTTTATGCGTCAAGGGGCATGGTTTGATATAATTTTATTTATTCTTTGATGTTTCAATAAGATTTGTGGAAAAAAAAGAATTCGCATCCATTGCTATTATATTCAATATCAAACCATTTGTAACCTTGTTTTTATAATCGATTAAGCTGGTGGCCATATCATTTGGTAAATGTTTTAAATTCGGTTTTTTACTTATAACCATAAGTACGCTTTTTATTGTTGGTATTACGTAATGGTAAAATGTCATAAATTCTGATGGAAGCATCTAAATCACTAAGGGTTGACGACTGTTTGTTGCTGTACTTGATGCACAGCAGTAGACCACCATATTTTAGGGTGTTTATCGCCCTGTATTGAATTGTATTAAAAAAAATCGATGTGCTTCACACAACTAATGGTGGACATATATACGCATGTATAAAAAAAGCTAGTAAGATATATCGAGAACTGACTTAATAAAAAAAATTGTAATAAAACAGGACTTTATGAACACCCTATATATATGTCGGTGGACTAAAATGTCTCAAAATCGATAAATATACAAAAGATATACTGTAAACATGCATAAACGCCCTTTTTTTTATCAATTTCCACAGTCACTGGTTTTTATTTCACATCATGGTACTCATTGCATTCATTTTTATTTTATTTTTGTGTGAATATCTAATAATCAGAGGTTTGTGCAAGAGAAGTCGCAGGAAACCTAACAAGAGAGGAGCACGGTTTAAGGAAATGATATATATACTGTATTTGGAATATCCTCGTTTTTTTTTTTAATCATTGCTATTACGTGTGAAAATCTTGATTGAGAATGGTGTCCATAAAGTCCTAAATTTTTTTCTTGATACCATATATTGTTTTGGCCATTGCAAATGTATTAAATGAAGTGAAAATACTTGAACAAGTTAGGATTAAAGAACAACAAACCTGTTTAAAAAATATTGAGAACTGACTTCATAACATGATTGAAATTGTGAAAGGATTTTATGGACATCCTGTATATTTTTACCCCATGAAAGATAAACGTGAAATTCTGAATCTTCATTTATGAGATTGATAATGTTAAAATCAAGTGTTGGGGAGAGTCACTAAACCCTGAGTCTGGCGTCACAATTCATCTGAGCTAAGTCGACTAGTTGATTTCTCAAGTCTTTGCTAATCAGTAACTCAAATTACGTGTAACACTTTGGTTTAAGTTCTGACCATGTGAATAAGAATATTGGCAACCTATATAAGATCCTTGGGCGTCACTGCCCGATAGCCAGCTTTGGGTCTTCGCAGCATCCCTTCCCCAGATATTAATTGTGATTATCCTTTTTCTTTGTATTTTGTGTAATATAGTCAATGACTTTGGCCTCCCAACACTCCTAAAATCACTCTTAATTTTAAAACCTGTTTAATGTTTCTGTACATTTGGTTTTCCTAACATTTGTCATAACAACCTTTTCCCTATTTTATATAAAAACTAGCTGAATATTAATGTATGTTGCATTTCAAATCATTGCCTAATGCTGTCCAATCGAAAATGATTTAAACAGCTTGGTGAAAAACAGAGAGAGTCTTAGTCATGGTGTTATTTTTTGTGTGGAAGGCTATTTTTCATTGAATTTGTTCTCATCTTCATTGCTTAGTTCTAGCTTTCATAACATGCCTTTTATTTTGATCTTGCTTCTACCTACCTTTGAAAACCTGAATTTTGAATGTTTCTGATCCGTTCTATTTAGTCTACTAGGATTCATGAGAAATCATTGTCATAACTGACGTGCTTATTTGTTGAGAATAATGGAAGTCACCCAAATTTTTCACTCTTATTGAAAAAAACTAGAAACTGTTGTTCATTTAGTGATTGTATTTAACTACACATTAATTGAGCAATGGTGTAGTGTGAGTAGGTCCTATTACACTGGCATGATTGCGTTTTTTTTTTCAAAAATAGCAGCTTTTTTCTAGCAGTCTGCCTGCCCATGTTCAGAGCTGAAAGACAAATAAGCGCTTACCATTTGAAAAAGCTTCATTTGAAAATAACACTTGTAGAAGTAGTATCGTGTAGAAACTTTATGCAGTATTTTACTCCTTTGGATTTGAGATATTTGTGTCACCGTTAGACATTGTTAAAGCCAGTTGTCAACTGGGTAGCAGTAAGTATTGTGTGATAACCTGTGTGGAAACTTGATTTGATGCATTTTATATAAATGTGATATTCTAAGATCGTGAGAGAAAAAACGTTTTTCGGATGGTTAAACTAGGCATACAAGATGGTATTATTGGCAAAATTGTTGGTTTGTGCAAAGGTTTTTCTCGCAATGTGCCAGCCCGTTAGAAAAACCAAAGTTTCAATATGCTCGGCTTTTTGCATTTTTCAGGGATTGATTTTAGATGTAGAATTTTTGTTTCTTTTATTCACTGATGTTTTCATGTGCATGCTGTAAAATAAAATGTAACCAAGAAATTGTTTTTTGTTGTACAGTGTGAAATGGGGTGCAGGACTTGATACTGATCTCATTCCTTGCTGTTGGAAGTCCAAGGCTGGTGTGTGATTTGGAGGATATTGAAGTCTGGGTCATATTTTCTGGAGTCTGAATTTTAGACTTTTGAAAAAGTCCGATTGAAGTGTACTCGAAGTTCTTGAGTTTAATTTTCATCTGTCATATTCGTTATCTTGGATTCGGATTTTATTTTCATGTGGGATAAAATTTGCCTGGCATCAGAAGAAAATTTTTTATGAAATATGTTAACATAGGCTGATATGAAACAAAAAACAGGGACAGTGCGGATTGGACTTGATTCCCAGACTTAGTAAAATATAAATCGTGAATATTAAAACCGATTGAAAACATGCACTTTCTTCTCAGCGTTTTCGGTAATTTAAATACGCAGCTAACGTGATATGGTGAAGTGACATATTTGACATATAATGATGACATAAGGATATAGTAGTCTCTCTTACGGAACTAGTGAAGTCAGTCGCAAATTGATAGGTAAATGGACTGCCTCCGGTAACATTAAAAGAAAATTCATTAACGACTGTCATTATGTATGAAGACTACACACCTTGTCACAACTCGTCCAGCAGGAGTAGACATTGGAGGGGATAGATACTACTTTGCCTACCAGTTTATATTACAACCCGTTGGACCACCTGCGTGATGTCACACCCAGAGCGTACCACCTCTTAATTGATATTATAAGTCTTTCAAAATTTCAATATGCAACTTTCGTTATGCGGAACCTATTATGCGTATCCCCAGAATTGTCTTCAGCTTCTCAAATACCAGAAATTAGCAAAACAAATTCATTGGCAGTGCAAATATTTTATTCAACAAAATAGGACATGATTAATATTTTTTCTCAAGAATTGGGCTGAAAAAGATCCGAAACCTGTAATGATTGATGCTGCAGAAACAGATTTTTCAAATCACTGTTTCTCAAGTAAGCATTAGTCTATTATCACAAGATAACTTTAGCAGACACAGTAACATAAAACATGTCGTCACCATAGTTCATTGTGGTTACAGAAAGAAAGCTGAATTCTAACTCATGGCTAGGTATTTCCAATTACTAATCAGAGTCAGAATAAGCAAAGATAAGCATTTCAGATGAACAGGTCTGGTGTAGTCTACCACCCTGGAGCGACAAGTTCTGCAATTTTTTAGTTTCGAATTGCACCATACCATGAAAATAAGCATTAGAAAATCTTCCAATATTTTAACCCTACTCCATTGTTTGTGTAACAACATTAATGTATGACCATTTCACAGTTAATCATGTGGCTTAGTGAATGTATATCCCTTGTTGGATTTTGATTTATTTGGAAGCAATTCAGTTAATGATTGAAATTCAATTCAACACATTAAAGCAGTAGTATTATAATCCCTATGAAAAATCAGTTTCAATTGTACAGGTGTGGGTCTTAATTTCACAGATCAAATAGGAATCCTCATTCAAATTTTTTTTATGAGGCATTTTAGATGAGCTTCTATGTAAACATTCATTCATTAATGTCTGTGCAGTCAGTGAGAGTCCGCTTGTGTTCAGAAAATTTCCCACATGGTCACTTCAGTCTCTATTTCCATCTGGAATAATGCTCCTGCACAATTCAGTTTCTTTCAAGATTGACTCAAAAGTTGTTCCGCGATGATTACTGTGCGGCCAAATTACATGCATTTCTTCATATCCAATGTGAATCTGAAAACAGAATCAAAATTGAGTTTGACAATACGCTTTTAAATTTTATATAGAAATATTGTAAAATAAAATTTTATTTAAAATAACAAGACCATCAAACCAAGCGTTTAGGACCTCATCAAATTAGCTTAAAACTGTGAAAAAATAGTTGTATATGAATTTGGGTCTCACCTATTTGATCATATCCTTCCCTGATATTTTGCATTCTGAGAAGAACGTTCAGATAAGTACCATCTTCCCTCGAATCTGATTCAACTCCAGAATTTAAAATCCTGTTCAAGATCACCAAACAATCTTTTTTTGATTCACCAAGCTCACCAAAACGGTTGCATATAATATCATAACAATGGTGGAGGAGATCCATCATTTGTGAGTCAATTTTTCCAAATGCTACCCAAGTTTGCACCCATTTTAAAACCCTTATAAAATGTTTTTCAGACCAGTTTCTGTCATCAATACACACTTTTAGAGCTTTTCCAAAAACCCATTTTGCGCATCTGAGCCATAATTCAGAATCTCGGTCCTTAATTTCTTCAACTTTGTAAAATTGAGGTGTCCAAAACATTAAAATATTGACAAGATGAATAATAATATCATTGGATTCAAAATTTGTCTCCAATTCTGCAATGGCGAGCAAAACTCTGACGTCTTCCTTTTGCAAGTCGCAGGAATCTTCTAATGTCTGTTGCTGGTCCTTGTTCCTTAAAATCGAATTTTTTCTTCTCTCAGATAAATTTGATAAGCAAGACTCGAGAACAGATAATGTATCTGTGAAAAAAGTAGACATTTCCGAGTACAAAGTATCATTTGAAGCATGTTCAACCATGCTGAACATGTTACCTAGCAACGATATTGAAAGAGTTATCAGCTGCTTCACAACTCTGAACGGGGCAAGAGCTGCTCTTTTTTCTATGATTGGAAGGGTTTTGTCTTCTTCAGGTGTGTCTCGAGTACATGCAACAACTTGGTCCATCTTTTCACTTGCGATAAATTCATTCACATTTAAGGTTTTCCAAATCATGCAAAGTACTCTAACAACATGAGTAGTATTTTCTTGTCGTTTGCCTGGGTCACCCAAGCATGGGTATGTTTTTATAACTCCGAAATTTGCAGAGGCTTGTTGTTTGGTGACAGTAGTGAGCCAAGTTATGAGTCCGTTATTTCTTATAAGATCATTTGCCACGCTTCGGATTGTGCAAGCTTGCTCGAATATTTGAAAAATTTGTCGACGAACGTAATTGTCACTCACTGGTGAATCATGCAAGCACATGAGAAGTTGAAACACATTTTTCTTTTTTATAATATGATAATCACCCATATCTCGTATGCCTTCAATTACTAGGTTCAAAATCCAGGTTCGTTCTGTTTTACTCTCCATTTCAGCACTGAAGAACAAGACGTAAAACTCAGGAACATTTTTCAAATCGAGTTGTGGTTTAATCAAAATGAACCGATGCAATACTGAAAACATATGATTGTCAGGAGTTTGATGTAGCCTCACAACAGTCGAAAGAAAGTTCGCTACGACTGATGAGAGTCTAGGAATAGCATCAATGTCGCCATCTGTTTTAATTTCCATTCCATTTCGAACGCAACGAATCAAATATAGGGTTAAATTTTTCTCGGGAAACCACGCTGTTATAGCATGTTGATAATATAATGACAGACAAGAGGCTGCTAGTGAACGAACCATCGGACAATGACTAGCAAGACAACACATTAAAAATGACAAAGCGCCACCTCTGACGAACATTTTGCAGTCCAATAGATTCTCAGGACCAAGGAGATCTAGTAAAGCCGGAAGCAAAAAACTGGGATCGTAGACGTTTTGTGTTGATTCTTGAGTTTCGTAAATTTTATTTTCTGAAGTTGAAATAGTAACCTTGGGATCATTTTCAAAATAATCCACATTTTTGACATCAGAAGAGATGTTCAACATGCGCCTTCGAAGCGGAAATCTTGCATAAGTAGCCTCCATGATATCATTATCCAAGCAAGTTAATATATCACTTGGACTTGGTTTTTTCCACAATGTATCACCAAGATTGCGTCTCGCACGGTATGACGAAAGTGCAGCTTTTCCCCACAGAAACGGCTTATATTCAGACAAACTGACACCTTTCTGCTCAAACAGCAAAATAATCGTCAAAATTGTTTGATCAGTCTGAGTTAAAGTACATCCATAGGCACCGAATAAAAATCCAAGATCTTTGTCTGAAAGATCATTACGATCGCAGCGTACACACAATTCAAATAACAATTGTAGAACAACTAACTTAGGATTTACTTTATCATCTTTCATCTGTACTGAGTCCGCGTCCTCTTCAAGAATTATTGCAAAAAATTTGGAATGATTCGTCAACATATATTTAAATGTTGGAATATCTGTGATGTTGTTTACAGTCACATATTCCTGTATTTTTCCATCGTCGGCGTAAAACACTTTCACAAAATGTAAAAGACATTTTAAAGCAGTTGCATTTTCAAAATGATGTTTTAACGTCTGTTTTAAAAATTTATCCCATATCGATGATAATTTACCACAAATAGTAGGATACTCTTCCACATCTAAATTCTGTATCTTTTGCAGCAGTGTTTCAAATCCTCTATTAGTCTCGCTTTGGGATTTGGGTTGTGATACAATATGATGCACACATAGAAGAATTTCCGAAGCACGGATCTTATATAGCTTTGGCTTTGAGATAACATTCTGAAGCAACTGCCCAATGGATAACACAATGTCCAAATTTATATTACCGGTAGTTGTATTTTCCAGATTCAAAATAGAATCTAACAGAGGCTTATATAAGTTTTCTTCACCCAAAGCTGTCGCGATTGTAAATATATGTTCCATAAATTGTTTTCCCATTTTAGTGAATATTATGTCATCAAACCTGTTGGAGAATTCTTCAATTGGTACAAATATTAACGATTTATAGGAATTTAGAATCTCTGCACATTTCATTTTTGAAAACTCATCATTATTTGGTACCAATGTTGATAAAACTTGATTTATAACTGGAATTAATGAAAGTTTGCTTTCTTCATTTAATTTCGACAAATTTGTTTCTTTACACCAGTGCATGAGAAGCTTTGGGTTATATTGTATTAATTTTGTCATCAAATCCACAGTTTCTAAATCCAGATTCTTCATACATAAATTGATGACATCAGCAGATCCACATAAAGCAAAACGTGGATGATATTCCAATAATTGAACGAACAACTCAATTATCCTTGATTTCTCTTTGAGATATTTTGACG